CATATTGGTATGTTGTCCCGATGTCAGTCGTATACTGTCTAACTAAAGCATGTTACGACATTGCCGTCCAAGAGTTTTTTGTAGAAAATGACTTGAGGAACATTTTTTCAGAACATTTGAAAGCGATAAGATACGCTCAGTTGTCTGGTTATTGGCAATTTCTTTAGCTTTAAGGAATGAAAAGAAAAGTGGCTTTTCATGCTTTTTTTGTTTTTATTACGAGATAAACCCAAATTGTAACTATTAATTACTCGGCTTCAAATAAGTTCCAGCATAATTCTGCCAACAGAGATGCCAACTTTTTTCCTGCATAGCAAGCTTCAAATGGTGCAGCAATCTGATGAAATCTTTCGCCGTGTTCATCGGTTTCGGTGCTCAATTGTTTCTCGAGTTGATCAAGATGGTAATGCAGGAAATGGATTTTTAGGGACATGTGCACATTTATATCGTTGAACGCGATTATCATACTCTCAATAATTGATCGGAATCTGGCAGACCGATTTGTTCCAAGACAATTATGAATCACATCTTTAACGCATCTCCAGGCAACTTGTTCCTTTGGCAAAATATTGTTTTCGAAGACTGTACTCTTCTCTAGCTTCCTGATATCCGGGCTGTACTTAACTGCATCTCAAATCTGTTTAAGACTATCGTAGGTTTCTTTTGTGTTTACGCAGGTTGCAATTAGCACAGGATTTTTCGAGTTATCAACGTACAGTAGAACAGCTTTAAGTGAGATTTTACAACCATCGATAAAAAGACGCCAATCATCTGCCCGGTATTCATTTCCCATTTCAGTCATTAATCCATTGATGTCTATACAGTATGCAAACATATTTTCTCTGTTGCTCGTAAAAAATGGAACAAATGATTTCTGTCGATGTCGGAAGGATGTTGTATTTACACCGGGACAGATTCAGTTGTCGGACTATTTTGTTCAAGTGATCTTGTGTTTATCACTAACCTGGGATGGGCACATAAGCAGAGTAACTTGTTGTTGCTAATGATGGTAATGAGGCTTGTCCGAAAATTACATTGTATTGTAGGTGCTTTGGAACAGGAATAGCTTCCGAATTCACAATGGAATTTTAGCTGATGATACTTCTTTATAGGTGATATTATCTCTCGAACGTTTGTTGTGGCCCAACACCTTATTTACGCATACATAACAGTTCTCTGCATTGTGGATGTCCCGGTAGCTCCATATCATCGGAACTCCAAATGATAAATGCACAGCTCTCCCGCATTCCCATTATCTCAAGCTATTGTCACACGAAGTACATACAACGTTAGGAGCCCAACGTACACCCGAAATTACAGGCATGTCAAAATACTGCTGGTATCTCTCGGCAAACCGTGGTGAAATTAATCTTAACATCTCATCGCATCCCAAAGTTGTTTACGGTAAATTTCCATGGATTTTAGATTTTTACGGGGGTATCTATATTGAAAAATCACCCGAACGAGGGGTAAGATGGCGAGATATCGTTTTCAAATGTTGTCTAGTCACTTCTTCCTACAAAACACTTTCAGACGACAATGTCATAACATACTCTAGTTAGGCAGCATACGACCATCATCGGGACAACATACCAAAATTCATAAAGACATCTAAAAAAATGTTCCTCAAGTCATTTTCTACAAAAAAAACTCTTGGACGGCAATGTCGGAATATGCTTTAGTTAGGCAGTATACGACTGACATCGGGACAACATACCAAAATTCATAAAGAGGGCGGTACCAAAAAATTAGGACGTGTTAGAGTATAAGTTTGTTCGAGACTTTTACTCAGAGGACCACAAGACAGTCAAATATGGTCGACTTTCTCAGTCCTAGAAAAAAAAGTTTCGATTTGTTGCACAGTGTAATTAATAACTATTTGACGTTTGGCTAAAAAACGGTCTTCCGCAAAGTTGTATCTGCGAAAAAATCCGATAAGAACAGCTGTAAAACTGTTTTATCAGGGAAATATGGAAAAAACAGATGAATAAAAAAATCGGTTTTCGTATACTACTTTCCATGTAAGCTTCAAATGATTTGAGCCAAGTCAGTTTATTACCAAATGAGTTTAAATTGTATGAGACACATCAAAATCCGTTTGTCGTTTGAGCACTGCGAAAATTGAAAATGTTGCATCACTCTAATGTACAAGTTTTGAATAATGTTGTATTTGCTACCCAAACTTATTTTAAAGTTTATGAAAACTAACCTTAAAAATTCGTCATAATTTCTGAGCCATGTAGATGTCACTAAGTATTCCTAAAATTGGGCCCATGTTTAAATTTCAAAGGAAAGCATTTTTCCAATTGTTCACTAGCATCCGAAAATATTAATTTGTATTGCCCAGATGACGCATTGTTCTAAATTTTATCGATTGGCCCAATCTTTAGATCCATAGGCCTACATTAGAGCTATTTTCCCCTGTTAATGAATTCCAGATCAAAAATTGAAATATGTTCAATCGAAAGTTAGATTAATTTTCGATTACTCAAATGCCATGTTCAAGGTAGGCAGTTGTAACGTTATATTTTATTGACAACGTCTTCTTGTTCGTATTTCAAGCTTATTGCTTGTCGCATATTAGCTTATTGCGTGCTCTCAACCAAGGTTGCAAATACTCATTTCAGCTAAAATAATATTTTTCGGAATAATAAAACCAAAAGATGTTATGATGACATGTTCTACTTGTAACTTACAAAAAGAGGTTACAAAGTATGCGTTGGAAACATAAAACCTGTAAATTTTGCTTTCTATGAGTCACAATCAGTGATTTGCTGATCGTTGAGTGAGTGAGTGAGTGTGTGAAAAATCGCTGATTGTGACTCTCATGAAGTGAAATAAACAGGTTTAATATTTCAAATACATTCTTTGCAACCTCTTCTTGTATCTTACCAATTCAAAATATGATCCTAGCATCTAATTATTTCATAGTTAAAAAAAAACATTGTTTTAGCTGAAATGAGTATATGCAACCTTCCTCTCAACTTAGTGTTCTAGATACACTTCCACAGTTATTAATTGAGAGCTTTCGATGCCAGTACCATTTTTACATTAGTATAATTGTGTGGCAAGCAGGCATGGAAAATCATTTACATTCATTTCATGTATTCATTTACATTCATTTACCTCTCACTTTTTTCTCCAGCAGCATACCGCAAATTGATGTATAGAGCTTTAGTAGGTTTTGTTATTAGCTACAACTTTTGCCCATAACTCAAATCTGTATCGCATATGCATCACGAATTAGAGCGGGCAGAACTCGTTACTGTTTTTCAGTGAATGTAAAATACATTCACTGAAAAACAGTAGTAGATTCTGTTTGCTCTGGTTCGTCATGCATAAGAGATACGGATTTAAGTTGTTAGCAAAAGTTGTAGCTAATAACAAAACCTACAAAAGCTCAATACATTATTTTGCGGAATTCTGTTCATGAAAAAGTTAGGAGCAAATGAATGTAAATGAATGCAGATTTTCCATGCCTGGTGGCAAGTACAGTCATTGTCCAACCCGAAAAATTCTTAGACCGGGCCGGGAATTCGAACCCAGCCACCTCCAGCATGGTCTTGCTTTATAGCTGCACCATCACCAATTGAGCTAAGGGAGGCCGTTAGAGAAGAAAACGGAGACTAAGCGAATGTAATTTATACTAATGTTTGTTCAGTTTTGAGGCCTAAATTTCTGTGGAAATCCGATTTTTAAAATAAGTTTAATTGTTTGGCGTTTATTTGGAATTCTTGGTGCGATTGAACAAATGTCGTAAAGCGAAATTTGTGGATTGTAAATCGGGATTTCTGTAATAGCCCTGCATGTATCCTACTAGTTGTATTGATTCGAAAACTCGTAGGGGAATTTACGTATTCTCGGCAACCTAAGCAGCGACCTTCTTTCTATAGCCTTTTTCTCTAAGGAACGCACACATATGCAGTATTGGTGTGTTTACAATCTTTTGCTGCCAGCTGCTCTAACAATTTCAGTCGAAAGAATTGTCAAAAACTGTTTTGAAACGCTTTTTCAAAGCTCCAATCTTCTCTAGTGAGAGCGAGTATTGTCGGCAACCAGTTTTTCTTCGGCAACCGTTCCATTTTAACTGCATGTAAATCTGCTGTTCTATTATCGGCAACTCAAAATCAGCTACAATTTGTAGTGCGTGTGTTTCATTTCAAGAAAACCCTGCTAGATTGCTTTTTCTCAGTGGTAAAAATATAGTCAAAGAAGCTGAAAGCATAAAGAATCGTTTGCATGCATTCAGCGAAGTGTTTTCGTAAGAAAATCCAGTGAAAATAGTGTTTCAATTTGGGTTGCCGAAAATAGTCTGTCATGCCGAAGCCGTCATTTCCCCTATAAGATATGCTTTTTGGAACACCGGAGCTTGATATCTCTTGACTTTGCCAGGCATTTTGTATTGCAAATGTTCTTGAAACTCTTTCATAGAGCATGTTAAGCATGCAAATGTTTCTCAGTTTCACTTAAGACAAAAAAGGCCATTAGACCATTATCGGCTTAAAGCGAAAAGCTGGATTTAATGCCATAAAAGTCTAGCAATATATCAATTTAGGTTCTGCATGACTAACGCACTCAGTTGCTAAGTAACGTTCACTTCTTCATCCATTCAGTTGATTAACATTCGCGACTCAAAACCACACTAGACTTTAGATAGTACGTGCTACTACGGCACAAATACTACCCCCTCGAGCGAACGAGCAATGGTAAGTCACACACTCTTGACAGAAATCTACTCCAACCATAACAAGACGACCGACGACGACGCAGATAGCATGACACCAAACGACCGAAAGCGCGAAAGAACCTACCTCCGTCCTACAGCCGAGTAGGCTCGGCGAGTCTCATGAAGGCGCGTTGCAGCCCACTTCCTTTTTCATTTCTAAGCTATGTTGCGTTACTATAAAATCCAGTTGTTGCAAATACATGTACCTATGCTGCCACTAAAACACCACTTTTTTTCTCTCTCTCTCTCTACTGTCTTCTATCTTTCATTTCAGAACTCGAGCTCGCCACCGAGAATGTGATAGAAATGAACGATTCACAGACGATTTTGAAATATCCTGCCACATTAGATAAGATGGAAAGGTAAGTGCGAGTGTGGGGGAAACATCACAGCCTCGAATAGAGAGCAAAAGTGGGAAAAAGTGGTTCTTGATGCGACGCGAGTCGTGTGGCCCTGTTTCGCTTTTTGCTCTTGCTTTCTAGGCACTGGGATGGAGCAGTTTCCCAGCAGGTGCGAGGACACGGTTGGAGCCCACCAAATTTCTGGCACCCGATCTCGTTCTCGTTGTCGACGTTGTTGCTCTTGTTGTTGTTTTTGGTTTATGTTCAAGGGCCTCTGTACGTTTGAAGAACGTACATTGTTCGGAATACACTACTCATATTCGAAGTGTATTCAGTGGTGTATGTAGGTTTTTGATGATAAGCCTTTCAGCCTTGGAAACACACAAATACAATAGTGACTTATTATAGAAAGCTAGCACTTGCCACAAATAGTCGATTGAAGTGATTGTTTACAAAAACAGATACGTCGATTTGAATAGTTACGCTTGAATATTAACCTTGCAAGCATTCAGATATTTTCTGAAATTCAAGCAAAAATTATTTGGAATTATGATGAGATCTCCATTTCGGCAATACGACACTAAGGTCTTCAATCCCAACATACCCAACACTGTCTAATTCAACTTATTATCTTTGTAATAATAAACCTTGTGGAATGCAAAAAATGTGAAAACTACGTGTTACCAAATTTGAGATCTAACTGTTTAAGAAGATATTCTAGTATAACAAGAATTACCATAAAACGGGGTATCTTTGATAATGCGGGTAACTTTGATAGTAGAATATAATAATTACATTTAATCTCTGCATTAGTTCCGAACTGGAAACATTGGTTCCATTTTGTAGCTTAGGGTATTAGCTTTGATATCGTTTAGAGTTTTTATATAGTATGGTTTACATATTTTCCGAATATCTGAAAAAAAAACTGTTTTCTGTTTTTTTGCTTGATGGAACTCAATCAATCACTTATTAAATGTATTTCCGATATAGCCATCACAAATTCAATGTTGTGATGTTTCTGACTATATACTCTTCCAAAGTTTAATATTTCTTGAAACAAATTGATTGAGATTAACCTATGTTTTTCTACATTGATATTTGTATGGCAGTATCGCCAACGGGGGGCAGAGCGCTTCCATTGCAGCAATGGACGCGAAACGTGGTCAGCACTCACACTCATGACGAAACGGTTGCTTTACAAAGTCGACGACGCATCAACCGAAAGAACAACTGAAGAAGAACAATGGTAGCTGCCGAGTAACAGACGCTCGTGTGACACGCAGTAGCCTGCTGCTGTCGACAGCCGAGTTAACACTGTAACTGTATCATGTTATAGGAAGATACATAGATCATATTAACGGTTATGCGTCCAAGTTCAATTGCATTGATGTATTCTTCACTATTGTACATACAAGCCATTTTTGCGCATTCTATAACATTTGCTAGAACGTCACCAGCCCCGACTGACATTAGCCCGACTGTAACACAAGCCCTAAACGTGTGAAAATAGTCTAATATTGAACCCAGTATCACAGTATTTGTAATTGTAACTGTGGAAACTCTTAAACTCTTTCTTAATTGTTTAACACCTCAGTCCCATTTTTTCAAAAGCATATAATACTAACGTTTTTTGATAGGATACGGCTATTCAAGTACAAATACCTAAAAATAGCCAGGAAGATGTTTTTTGGGATAACATCCAAATTATTCTGGAGTTCAGATCAATGATCTACCATATCAACCTTGACTAATAACAAAGCCCTTAGTAACGAAACATTCCAAACAAGTTCATATAGATTATGCACATCATTTACATTTCAATTCCATGTGTATAAGATGTTCTAGGTTCTCCAAATTGTCCAAGAGTTCAAGCTATTTGATCTACTGGATCAACCAAGGCCTGCACGACGTCCTCAGTGACGACACCTGTCCAAACCTGTTCATTGAGTTTTTGCACATCACTTATAATCCATTTTGATGTTTATAAGATGCTCAAGGTGCTCCAAATTATCCTGGAGTTTAGAACAAATGATCTACCCGATCAACAATGACTGATACAAGGCCCTTAGCTACGAAACAACTCCAAACAGGTTCATACAGATTATGCACATCATTTACGTTTCAATTCCATGTGTATAAGATATTCTAGATCCTCCAACATTTCCTGGTGTTCAGATTACTTGATCTCCCTGATCAACCAAGGCATCTGCCTGAACTCATGGGTAATTTGTGATGAGCGAAAACTCAATGAACATGTTTGGGTAGGTGTCATCACTGAAGACATCGCGCAAGCCCTGGTTGATCCAGTAGATCAAATAGTCTGAAGTCTTGGACAATGTGGAGTACTTAAAACATGTTGCAACCAAGAAAATTAATCTCAAATTGTCGGGTTGAATTATCATGACAGTGCATGATCCTTTCCTAAAGATATCGTCGCTGTCCAGATTAAAGTCTGTGTTATTCAAATGGTTTAGGAGATCCAGGCCTTTGAGTTTGGCTATAAACTGGTGCTTTCATATTTACCCTGTATAGTTGACACTCACAACTACAACTTTGCTGAATGAACACACTGAGATTATTTCACCGAAATCGGTGATTTTTCACAGATTTCCTGTAATTTTTCACCGAATGTCTGTGAAAAATTGTTAAAAATCACCGAACTGTTTACCGAACGTTCAGCTGTTGAGATTTCGGTAAAATTTCACAGATTTCGGTAAAATTATCTAAGTATGAAGTATGCTATCTAAGCTATCTATCACTTTTGATTTTATGGAACCAATCATAGAGCGTGGTCATATATGACCTCGCGGGCTCGAAGGGGTTGAGTAATCCGAAATTTTCTAAAGCTCTTTAAAGAACTTTTCATGTTTGAAAGAAGAAAAAATATTCTCTTAAAAATAGAATTTCTCATCCAACTTTCAAATTATAAAACTCACAAATTTTCCCAAAGTTAGTTTTTAAATCTCAAATAGTTGTATAACATTTTTAGGTAATCCTTTTCGCGATATACCAGTTCACGGTGCACTATTTCGCGGCCGACAGAAGCAGACCACTCTCAATGTGTGTCACGCGATCGTCTGTTTACTCGGCAGCAACTATTGTGTTCCTTATTGTTCTGCATCAGCAGTTCTTTCAGTCGATGCGTCGTCGACTTTGGAAAGCAACCGTTTCGTGATGAATTTGTGAGTGCTGACCACGTTTTGCATCCATTGCTGCAATGGAAGCGCTCTGCTTCCCGTTGGCGAATCTGCCATACAATGACACCACAGGAAGCGGCTCCCGTTCTGGTGAAGGAGGCTTATTTGATAGCGGAAGATAAAATGTTTACTGTGTTGTACCTTTTGATTATAGTTTTAAGGTGTATTGTATTGTGAACAAAAATCCTCGGCTCTGTAAAGTTAATTCGAATGAGCCTTATCAAATAAATTAATAAACAAAAAAAAAACGTTTCGCGGTATTAAAATACTCGATTTGATTCTTTATTGATGATATAACTCTTTTATCACACGTGTTATCATAATTAGATAAATACAGGAGGATTACCGTTTGGTATAAAATATCCCAGCATTGTGGTCGTTTGGCATAATGGACGTAAGAAATGGACTTCATTGATGGAACTTGAGCAACTCAATTTTTTTAGAAATAGGGGAATTTACGTATTCTCGTCAATCTAAGCAGCGTCCGCACTTCTATTAGCATTTTCACAGCGTCACGCACATATATGACGTGTCTGTTTGTTTCAATTCATCTGCTGCTTGCTTCTCTATCCATTCCAATCGACAGAATTCTTCAAAACTGTTTGAAAGCGTTTTTACAACGCTCTAAACTTCTCAGGTGAGTGTGACTATTGTCGGCAGCCTCTTTTTCTTCGGCAACCTTCCCATTAGAACTGCGTGTTAACCAGCTGTTCTATTATCGGCAACTCGAAATCAGCCCCATTTTGTATTACGTATGCTTCATTTGAAGAAAAATCTGGCATAACAGGATTGCTCGGTCCTACAAATATAATCAGATTGAAGCTGAAAGACTAAAGAATCATTTGGATACATTCAGGGAAGTGTGTTGATGGTAAAACATAGTGAAATTAACGTTTAAATTTTGATTGCCGAGAACAGTCAATGGGTGCCGAAGCCGACATTTACCCTAGCTAGGTCCTTAATTGTATGAAAAATTTCATAAGGGTTACAGTATATATGACTAATGGAATGGCAACCAATTAAGTCTAATGGGGTTCATAGAAACCTTATTTAAATTAAAAGTAACGAACATTCCGATGACGTATGGTTTATTGTTACTTATAGATTTTCCCTCTTTTAAACATGAGCTGTTCTTTTGATTGTTGTAGTGATTATATTGGAGCTTTATCATCATAAGTCATAAATGCCCGAACGCAATGACAGCGGAAGTTGAAAACCCTGATGTCAGCCTAGGAGCGATGCATTAATTATGTCATGAGGAATAGGGTAACCAACTGATTTTGGACCCCTAGAGGAAGTGAGATCACGTTTATGTCAAAATAATATTATTTGTTTATTATTATTATGCAATTTACATGCAGTTGTGTTCGAAAGCTACTCATCTTGGATGTAAAATGTCACTAGATGTTTTATTTATTTGTATTATTTATTTGGGACCCTTCCACTTGATTTTGGACAGTGTCCATAATATATTTTGGACATACTGATTGGGAACGAATATATTTTGGACATGCTGAAGTTCTTTCAACCTATGAGCCTAAAATTAATTACGACGGTCACTTCTTCCTATCTCGCATTTGTTAGGTCCGTCTAGGTGGGAAAATTTTCAAAGAAGGTGTCGTAAAACGGGGTGAAATTGATCAGCGGGGTGAATTTGATCGCTGAGTATACCCAATATTGTACTTATGCATAATATTTTTACAATGTATACAAAGATACATTCGTACGCTTAGTAACGAAAAACATGTTACACATGAAAAAATATCACGAGTAATATCAGCGATCAATTTTGCCCCGCTGATCAATTACACCCCGTTTTACGGT